GGAGCTGAGCACTGTGAGCCTACGCATCCACATGTTTTTCGCCACACCTGCACCTTGCATTCCCCCCCCTATATTTGGCCGGTTCTCTCCGTGATGCCTAATGGGGACCGGGGTTTATGGAGCTGAGCACTGTGAGCCTACGCATCCACATGTTTTTGCCACACTTGCACCTTGCACCCCCTGCTGTATTTCGCCGGTTCTCTCTGTGATGCCTAATGGGGATCGGGGTGGCAGCTTGTGTGGTGCTTGTGGTGCGAGAAAAGGGGGGCTGGGAGGGGTTGGGTTGGGGTTAGGGTTGGGGTTGAAGCAGCAGAACAGTGTGGAGGAAAAGCAAGCCAGAGAGAGTAGAAGATCAAGCAAAACATACATGATATGCACCAAAGGCCGACACAAAGCAGTGAAGCACAAGCACACAAGCATGCAGACAAAAAAAATGGCGACGACACAGGTACCGAGAGGAATGGAGGCCAAAGGAGGAAAACAAGGGGAATACAAGTCAAAGGAAGCAGAAGACATCGATCAAGTCACCAGTCACATGAATCGACAAAAGCCAAAGCAGGAAAGATCAGCGCACAGCAAAAAGACAAAAACATGGAGGCAATAATGGAGAGCAAGGCAGAGGGGATGAAGAGCGGCTGCCAAAGGCACAGAGAAACATGGGAGAACCAAGCCGGTAGAAGCAGAAGACAGAAGGGAAGATGGCATCAAAAGGAAATGAGTAGCAGTGCACCGACCAACAACCATACCCACAAAAGCCTGAGGCCGCATATACACCAGCAACAATGAAGAGTGAATGAGTGAATCGTGTGTCTTCAGACGAGCAAGTCAAACAAGAAACAGGACATCATGGAAAACGAACCACAAGCGAAGCCGGCGCTCTTTAGCCAGACATAGGGACAATCAACAGAGTCCTGAGAAGAGAGGACGAAGAATAGCAGGAAGACGAGAAAGTACCGACGGGCCTAGCTCAGTCGGTATACCCCTGAACTGTTGTAATATGATAGATCAATGAAACAAGATAATTTGAAAAACAGAGAGAGAGAGAGAGAGAGAGAGAGAGAGAGAGAGAGAGAGAGAGAGAGAGAGAGAGAGAGAGAGAGAGAGAGAGAGAGAGAGAGAGNGAGAGAGAGAGAGAGAGAGAGAGAGAGAGAGAGAGAGAGAGAGAGACAGAGAGAGACAGAGAGAGAGACAGAGAGAGAGACAGAGAGAGAGACAGAGAGACAGAGAGAGAGACAGAGAGAGAGAGAGAGAGAGAGAGCAATTGACATGCAACACAGGATGTTAGCCAGTGACGTGGATTGGAATTGTTCCAAGCAATAATGATAACACCACAGACTCACAGAGTGAAATAATGAGCAAACTATACAAGGCAAAAGAGATATAGAGAACGGCAGAAAATGACTATCTCAACGCCAGAGAGTGGGGAGAATGGCAGCGGCGTCTGCATGCCACTAGCAGGTTAGCCGCAGAGTAAGAGAACAAAGCACAAGCGCAACAAAAAGGGGGGGAACAAAATGCTTCATGTACACTACTCGCAGCAAGGCACGAAATAAAACTCGACAACTCCCATGGGGAAAACTTACAGTCATCTTCCATCAGGGGCTGCACCAGGGGGGAAACTTGTGGACGGCTTTGGAAAGATCAACTGCCGGTGAAAATGCAAGATGACTGTCAGAAACCCCAGCCCACGTGGCTGATTGGTACACATCGAACTGCCGATAAACAGGTCACGGGATCCAGTCATGAAGGAATGAGAGAAATCCAACGGCGTGTTAAGGGGTGCAAAAAGACAACTGCCAGAAGTGGAACGACAAGGCAAGCGGCTGACGAGGAAAGTGCTCGAGGAGTATTAACACAGTTAGGTCAGGGGTAAAACAGCGAAGGTCAAGGGTAAAACAGCAAAGGACGGGGGTAAAACAGCAAAGGTCAGGGGTAAAACAGCGATGGAAGCAGGATCAGACTGTGTCCAGGCATAAAGACTCCCAAGATAAGCCACATGTCGACGGATATGTAAACGAAATACCGGCAGGCGAAATGATACGGCGCAAGCAACGTAAAAATCAAAGCCACTACTGCGCAATGCTGTGCAACTGTTTTAAGGAGCCAGAGATCAGTGTCTGGAAAGAGATGATGCAAAGAATGCCAACATGTCAGTCAGGCAGCAAAGAGGCAAACAAAATGACTACAGAGAAACATGTACTTCTTACGGAGTATTCACAGCGAATTCAGAGAACTGAAAAGGTGGGTGGGTGGGAGGATGGAAGAAAGGGCCACTGTAAAAAGCCGCCAAGACAAGTCTATCACTGGGAGGACGTGGGGAAGATGCAAGAACCACCGGTGTGATGCAGGACAGATTCCGAGTCCGCCATAGAGGTGATGTAAGTGGAATACATGGGTATTGGAGTCGATTGATAAATTTAGTATACAGAGTCAGTGCAGAGTCTACAGACTCTACATGTCGAGTCTGTATTTCATGAGCGATCGAAAATGTGCAGCAAGGGGTGGAAAACGGAGGAAGGGATCAGTAAATCGATTTTGACGGTGACTACTGCTGTAACAGGTCCAAATCGATTAGTGAATTTACTTCGTCACCTGTCCTCGTCGTACAGAAGGCGTGACCGACAACTCAAACGTCTGCAAGGTGAAAGGAGTAGTGGTAGGTAGGTAGTGTGAGGTGACATTGAGAGAAGAATATAGCTTTAAAATAAAAAATAAAAAAAAATAAAAAAACAGTCGATAAAGCGTGCGTGTTCTAATGTGAGTTCGTAGTCGTGTCAGAGATGAAACGAAGGCGGCAAAACAAAGAAGGGTAGGAAAAAAAAAAAAAAAAAAAAGACCTCATTTGATCCAATGCATGCGCAATGCCACAGGGTAAAAAGAGAGGGGGGGGAGGGGAGCGAGGCGGCGAAAAGAGAGCCAAGCGGGAGAAAGAAAGAAAGATTACATCTCGTAGCATTTGTCATCGGTCTGGGATAAAACTGGGCCATCATCATCATAGGTCGCATTTTATGCGAGAGACGAGACAAAAAATTGCACCTTAGGAAAATGAACGACATGAACCCCTCGATCTTTCAGTCACGATGATCACGACGACTAGCTCAAAAGCCTCTTCACAAGTGCTCCTGCACAGTTTGGAGAGAAATTTGCAACCATCCATAGCGAAAACATCCGTGTAAGGCTCTCTTTCTCAGTCCAAAGTCCGTGTAGGACTCCTTCTCAGTCCTTTGTCCATGTGTAACAATCTTTCTCACTCTTTAGCAGTCCGTGTGTAATACTGCTCTTTCTCACCCCTTACATCACTCCATAATACTCCATATGCACATCCTCTGGAAAGCCCAAGGGCATATTTGATACACTGGACAACTGGCTAAGAAAGACAGAACGCTTTTTTTTTTTTTTTTTTTTTTGGATGGGAAGGGGGGGCGGGACGTGGGGGGGGCAGACCACTTCGTATTTTCTCAGACGGTCTATTTTTCATTCAAATCTAAGAGGATGGGTTAACTCAACTTTAACCGCTTTGTACTACTTCCGTGACATCACGGTAACCCTTAAAAAAGCTTATGGAGAAATTATTAATTAAAGAAATTTCAACTATGAAGCACCACCTTTGAGGGATATTTTTTCACTCGTCATTCCCTGCACCTCACCCCCCTGATTCCCCCGTGCCTACCCCAATCAGAACCGTCAAACACCTCTTCCCCCTGATTCCCCCGTGCCTACCCCACTCAGAACTGTCAACACACACACAATACTTCTGTCTGTCGCAGCCGCAAGTAAACGAGTAGGACACGCATCATAACTGCACTTTCGTAGCCCCTGTTTTCATGCACATTTTATTTCATCAATTTGAAAATCTCTGAAAAAAAGATACCAAAAGAGACCTACCAGGCTACCACACAATGTAGATGATTGGCAAGGTACAGCAAGTCCATACAAGAAATGCACACACACACACACACACACACACACACACACACACACACACACACACACACACACACACACACATCAGAATGCACACCCCCCTAAGCGCATACATGCAAGCTCTCACATCTGCCAGCTATCACGACATGCCCATAGGCAGACCCATCGAAAGTTCGAAACCCATGGCCTTGTGAGGCAATAGAGGCCAACAAGTGGGCTTGATTCCAGGGAAATACATGTGGACATGCGCACACGTGTACATCCATATTTGCGCAGCCATAGGTGACTGCAGGCAACCTTACATTAAGCGGCGGTACACCAGATGCACATATAAAGACCCATCCTACCTGTGTGTGCGGGCATGCTACAGACTGACACCAGACCCCCTCTTTGCCACCCTGTGTGAGTTATCAGTTCGCTATACACAACTCCACAAAAAAAGCATGACTGTCCAGGACTGTTCTGTCGGATTTTCACCAACTCATCGTGTGCGCACACGTGTGTGTGTGTGCGTGTGTGTGTGTGTGTGTGTGTGTGTGTGTGTGTGTGTGTGTGTTGTGGGTGTGTGCGTGTGCGCACTTTCTAAAAAAGCCCGAATTCTCTCCCATTCCATCCACAAATCATTTTAAACCATCCATAGAACAGAAAGAAGTATAGGCGGGCAATATAATGGAAGGTGCAAGGTTCCCCACGTTTGTGTGGTTAAGCGGGAAGTACGCACACACCCGTCTGTGTGTGTGTGTGTGTGTGTGTAGATTTTTCCAGGGAGTGAGAAGAGAATACGGAGGGGGAGGTAGAAGAGATGCGTGGCAGAGGAAGCGGAGATAAAAGATACGAAGAGGGAAAAGAAAGGGGAGGAAAAGAGAGAGAGAGAGAGAGAGAGAGAGAGAGAGAGAGAGAGAGAGAGAGAGAGAGAGAGAGAGAGAGAGAGAGATTTGCGATGACGGAGCGAGCACTCACCTAGCTCGTCATTGTCCAACACTCTATACAACCTCTTCTCTGCAATCTTCTCCCGAACCTCCGCAATGACCAATTTCGTGAGGAGCAGGCCAGCAACCAACGCTGCCGCCATAAGCATCCAGAACACATACCTCCACCCTTCTTCGTCCCCTCCCAACTGGGAGACGAACCCCGTCACCAGCGGCCCCAGCGCCGCTCCAATTGAACCCGTGCCGTCTATGATCGCAGTAACCGTGGCCAATGCCTTGGCATTCCCCCTCAGCGATTCGTGCGTTCCCAGGTCCGCTGATACTGCCGTCGTGATCAGCGCATACGGCCCATTCACCAACAACCCAGAGGTGAGCATCAAGCCAATATTGAGTACAAAGGACACGCTCCCGTACAAGTAGTAGGCATACAGAACGGGAATGGAGAGGTACAAGAAGCCGGTTGCAACGACGGCACTCATATTGAATCGATCGGAAAGATAGCCCGCAATGACTCCTCCCACAATCCCACCGAAGTCAAACAGCGTCGACAGATCTCCCGCCTCCGCATCTGTTAGGACCTGCCCTGCGATTTCTGTTGAACAGACAGCCCGGCAAAAAACAGAAACTGTCATCACTTGTTCTTGCACCGACTTCTACCTACTTCTTCGAGTGTAAGGACTGAAAGGGGATAAAGAACGGATGGAGTTGAAAACATCCATAGCTGAAGGGAAAAGATAGCTTCAAAAAAGCACAGCCAGCAGTGATCTAACCACCTGCTTTTTTTCCGTGCAGTGACCCATTACCGTTTCTTTGGGGGGAAAGAGAAATATCAGAATCTCTATCGCAATTGTCACTAAGTGCATTTCACATGACAAACACCAACCTCACCACCATCCATCAGTTTTCAGCAATTACTAATTAATAATTATTAAGCAGAAGAAGACGAAAGCCGGTTGGTTACAAGACTGGACGACCGGTCCTTCTCTACCCATTCTGAGTCAAACCCAACAACCGATGTCTTGCCTAGAGGGGCCACTTGCCCAGATGGCCCGGGACCACTTGCCCAGAAAAAAAAAAAAAAGCACTTTTTATTTTTCAATTTGGCAAAGAATTTTGGCGTGACCCTGAGGGAAAAGTTGTTTAGTTTTTTTTTCCCTTCTTTTTCTCCCTTTTTGGGCAGGGATCTTCCTGGCCCGTGCCCTTTCGGGGCGGCCCGGTTGGTAGCCAAGTGTCCTGCCTTGTCCGGTTAGAATGAAAAGAAGGCAAAAAAGACGAAAAGAACAGAAAAAGTCATTAGAACGAAACTAATCAGCAAAGCAAGCGGGATCGCGGTAGCTTGCCGCAAACAGTGCAGCAAGAGCACAGAAGAGCCACAAGCATAGCATAGTAAGCATAGCACAACTGCAAAGTCACATTCCGCATAGCGCGGCCCGGTGGTCGTATCGGCGCAGCCCGAGCACAGAAGACCCACGAGCTTAGGATAGTAACTGCATAGCACAACCGCAAAGATGCATAGCACAGCATAGTCATATCACAGCACAATCATAGCACAGGCTAAAGCGTTATACATGCAAGGCAGCACAGAGACGTAGCATAATACTACAACGCAGGTGTTGTTACACAGACATAGCAAGGATGTATCACAGACATAACCCTCCCTTGCAATAGTCGATGCACAGACGTTGCACAGGCATGGCACCGACATAGCGCATGCATGGAATAGTCAGCATGGATTCGAACCGGTGGACTCGGCCTCAAGAGCCGAGTTTCTTAAACCACCGGTACTTGGACCAACTATCAGCCGTGGAAAAAAAGGGGGGTAGAAATGTTTCTAGTTGGATGAATTTGGGCACTCCTGTAGTGACCCGTACGTTTCCTAAAATTAAATTGTGGCTTGTTAACGGGCACAACTTTAGCAAGTACTGGTGGTTTAACCACTACAGCCATGGCACGGAGTTGAAAGCGGAACACGCATACCGGTCATGATATCCACCCCACCCCCTGCATGGCTGCAGTGTCCTTCCGGTACTCTGCACACACACAACACCGCACAGGCACGCGTTGCACACTACCTCCATTGACCACACAACTTCAAACCACCAGCGCACACAGCGCAAACCACGAGGGCAGTTCCCCCCCCCCCGGAAAAAAACGGGAAAAAAAAACGATTCTGAGCCAGCAGGGACCCCCACAAAGGGATGGGAGGTGGGAGGTGGGAGGTGGGGGCTTTTGTGGGGGCTGTTGCCACAACAGCTGCACTTACGTGTATGTTTCACATAAAATGGGAGCCAGTAGAGGAACGTGTAGGCCACGAGCTTCGAGAAGAACAAGCAGAAGGCGAACGCAGCCACGCCGGGAATCCTCCAAGCCTCCAGGAACCCAATGCTCTCCCTGGTGAGATGATGCTCATCCACGACCGTATAGTTGTTGTTGTTGTTGTTGTTGTTGTTGTTGTTGTTGTTGCCCAGCTTGACTTTCTCATCCACCGCATCTTCGGCGGCCGCCGCCGCAGGCCATACCCTCTTCTCCATCGTCAAATCGCTAACTGGAGGGGGGGGGGGAGATGGGGGGGKGTCATCGTCCTCTCTCTCACCAAGACGAAGGCTCGTGGATGTTCTTACCAACACTCCTTTCCCCTTGCCACAATCGAGGACGGCCGCCTCCCCCTCCCCCTCCCCCTCGGAACCCTCACCCTCCGAGCTCTCCCCCCTCTCCACGCACACGTCTCTCTCCTCCACCACCCCCTCCGCACGCCGCACATACGTCGGAGGCAAGTCCACGTCCTCCGGCTCTACCGGCAGGAAGGCGATCACCATCAGCCCACCCAGCATCATGATCAAACCCGGCAAGACGAACGACCAGCCCCAACCCCAGTGAAGCACGGCAGCAGGGAGCAGGGCTCCCAGGATGTTCCCCACCGACGTGTGCGCGTTCCATATCCCCATTATCAAGCCCCTTCGCGTCTTACCGAACCAATTTGCAACAAAGGTGACCACGCTGGGCCATCCCGTTGACTGGAAGAGTCCAGCGCACACTTGGATGACGATAAAGTAGCTTAAGTGATGAACGCGCCAAAAATAGCCCATGCCGAAGAGGCATGTGAACAGCCCACTGCCAAGCATGCCGGCACCTAAAAATAGCCGCAGATTCAACCGATCGCCTAAGTGGCCGCTAAAGTACATGCCCAGAGAATAAGCGGCGAGGAAGGCCACATCCACTTCTCCCAACAACCCCTGACCCATCTTCCCATCGAAAGGAGCCCAACCTCTGGCACCTCCATGCGCATCTGGGTCCAAAACACTCTTCACAATCGAAGGCGGCTTGCGAGACATGTGATACATGGAATAAGCGATAAACGTCAAAATCAGAACAGCCACTTGATACTGTTCCAGAGAAAAGTTTGCACCTCTCTCTCCCCCAAAACAGGCCCTTTTGAGCCATTTCACACCAGGAGGGCACCGTTTCCTCTGATGCTGCTGACGGCTGCTGGCCATCAGCAGCATCTCGTCCTCCATTGTACTCGGCCTATTCACCATCGTTCCTGTATTATATGCAGACGACGACGGGTAACTTGCGTTACCCCTTCTGCTGCTTCTCACCCACCCGCCGTCACCCCGTTCAGTTTTTCCCAACAGGC